GGGTGTAGAGTATGATTACAAGTCGAAGAGCTAGAAAACCAAGTGTGATTATAAACGTTTTCAGGTGAGCGTTGAAAACCCGGTGTGGTAGTGGATTTCTCCCCGGGAATGGGGAGCGGAGACGTAGGACGGAAGGTCCAAACTCCGTGATTGTTTGCTTGTGTTTGAGTTTGTCATTGGTGTATTTTCTTGTGTTTATCTTATATCGTCATTGTCTATTTATCTTTGTGTATATTGCCCTATCATATTTGTAGTTTTTTTATTTTACCCTTTGTTTATATTGTTTATCCTTGCATATAATTGTTGCATATCTTATTTGTTAGGATAACTTGTTAATAAATTTTAAATTGATATTAAATCGGATTAGATTAGCATAAACCATATTCACCCTCCCTCTAGGGTTCTTTCCTAGTGACATTAGGGTCTAACAATTGGTATCAGAGTTTAGTGCTCTTGATTAGAGGCTTAATCGCCTAGAGTCAAAGTTTTTTGTTCTCATATTTGTGCTAATCTAATTTTGAGATTCATTTTCATATTGCTTGCATATTTTTATATATTATGGATATGCGTGGTACATCTAGTCTTGGTTATGCCATTAATATTGCTCCTAGATTAGATAATTTCTTCTATGCTCAATGGTATGTCAGATTTAAACTTTTTATTCGATCTAGACACTTTGATATATGGAAAATTATAGATTGTGCTTATATTATACTCACTTTGGAGAAATTCAAATAGAGTAAAAATGATCATAAAATGTTTACAATGAATAAGATTTTGTTAGAATATTTGCTAAATACTTTTGACTCATTGTTTTCTAATAAGTTTGTTCATTTTGATAGTTCTTACACTTTATGAAAAATTATTAAAGTACATCAAGGGAACTTGGAGGCAATCCAACAAGCTTTAGAGGATTCTTCTTCAAGTTCATGTGGAGCATCGTGCACACGGCTACTAGGCGATAGCCCTTGTGTGGTAAGCGAGTTTGATTCCGATGATGAACTATCTATTAAAGAACTTGCATGTGCATATGATAGGTTAATGCATTCCTTCATTAAGTTGCATAATAGTTTCATTAATTTAAAAAGCAAGCATGTTGCATTAAACTCCGATCATGAGGAGCTAGTGTCCAAATTTGATGTCATTGTAAAAGAAAATACTATGCTTAAAGAAAACAATGACTTGTTAAATTTAGGAAATGAAAAATTAACCTAATCCATTTCTAGCTTATCTCATGCTAAGAATAATGCTATATTAGAAGTAGAGAACATTAGAAATGAGTTTAATTCTTTTAGAAATAATCATATATGTTCTACTTCTAATGTTAATGCTAATATGCCTAATGATGAGTCGAACAATGTTAAAAACCATATTTCTTCTTTAGATTTAACTCTAGCTACATGCATTAACAATCATAAGAAGCTTATGAATGTGTGTGCCAAGTCTAGTGCAAATAAGTTAAAATCATTCACTCATTATGCAGACATATATAACAAAGTTTACAAATGTTCCATTTGCGGCCAAAAAAGCCATCTATCTAAATTTTGCTATGATGCACACAAACATAACACTGCTAATGATCATTGTGCATCTTATCAAGTTTCTTCATCATATACACATTCACATGCTCACAATGCTCATCATAAACATGCATGTGTGTTTAAATGTGATCTATGTGGTCGGTTTGGCCATTTGGCAAAGTTTTTCTTTGATTTGAAAAAGATTTTTACTTTTACCAAATAATTTTAAAAGACTACAAAAGTTTAGGTGTGATTACTGTGGTAGATTTGGTCATTTTACCAAATTTTATTTTGATTTAAAGAAAGTTTCATATTTGCAAAATAATTTTCAAAGACCATCCATGTTTGCAAATATTTCTAATGTTTCCCGTGCACACTCATATGATCCACAAAAATAAATGGGTCACTTTTATTGCACATATTACAATCGAAAGGGTCATTTGCAAGATTATTGTTATGACTGGATTAGTGCATAAAATGCGCCCAAATGGGATCATTACCCTAGGGCTTTGAGCTTATATGGTAGGGGTCATGTCCCTATGTCTTTCATCTTTCGACACCAAGAATGCTTGGGTGACAAATTTTTTTTAAACCAAGATTATTAATATTTTAATTTTTTATTTATTGGTTTTGAAAACGTGTTTTTTGAAATTTTTGGAAATGAAAATAATTTTTTGATAAATTCTTTTGTTTTCATGTTATTTGTTTTTTATTGTCATGAGAGGTTTGTATTTGAGCAATCCCTAGATTTATTAGATATTTATTTCCTAAATTATGTTTACCGGGTGCTAAAATGTTTATATGGGTTAAAACAAGCTCAAGAGCTTGATATTGTTGCCTCTCTTGCCATTTTGATATTGATTTGCTTCTTTTGTGATTTACTTATGATTTATGATTTCATTTGGTTGAATTGTTTCCATTTGAAAACTTTTTTCATGGTTATCATGTTTTTCTTTCTTTTGTTTTCATAAATCTATTTATACATTATTTTTATGTTTGTGTATTGAGACACATTTTTTTATATTGACATATCTATATGTGTCCTCATTGTATTTTTGTATGTGAGTTTTGCCTAAACATGTTTTTATCTTGTTTGCTCACATGTTTGCCTTAGTACTTTATTTCATATATTCTATAAGGCATTTTGATAGGGGGAATCATTCCGATTTCTTTTATTGTTTTATACTCACCGTGCTTATAGGTAGGGGGAGCATTCGCTCTCTTCATTATTTTTGATGTTGCTATAAGGCATTTTGTTTTCCCTATTTTTGATGTTGCCAAAGGGGAGAAACAAGTAGATTTGTGAGTATATTTATGAGTATTATACTTTATTGTATATTTTATACACTCTTTGTGTAAATTGTTTGTCATCATCAAAAAGGAGGAGATTGTTGACCTTTTTGTTTTGATGATATTTTAATAAATAATTTGTAACTAATATTATTTATCTAGTGTTTGTGTTTTCTTATTTATTCTAGGCAAACAATGTGTCGGAGGATGGATGGAATCGAGCATTATATCCAATTGAGGTTGGAGGAATACCAGTGTGAAGCAATGCATTTTGCGTCTAGATCCAAGATCAAGCTTCATCCAAATTTACCAAGTTGAGACATATTAAAGATCAAGATAATTTGGATAATTTAGGTTTAAGTTTATACTCGTGTGTAGATACTTCAAGCTCAATCAAAAGTTTCAAAAGTTTGTTTAAGTCAAAATGACAAAAACAAGTGTTTTGTATTTTCATGTTTTGAACATTTTTACAAAATGCTAAGATTTCTCTATTTGCAAAATATTTTCTAAAGTTTTATATTTTTAGAATTTATTTGCTATTTTTAAAGGCACTTTAAGAATCAGATTTTCAGCATGAACAGTGCTTGTGCATGTTTTTAAGCCGACTTATAATACCTGGCAAGTAGACTTATGTTATCTTCTGGAATGATCGAATTTTTCTATGCCAAGTCGACTTATCAGTTATGGCAAGTCGACTTATGGCAAGTCGACTTACAGTCTTTTTTAAGCCGACTTATGTCTTGTTTTCCAGTTGTTGTTTTCATCTCTTAAGTTGACTTATACCTTATATCAAGTCGACTTATAAGTCGACTTGTAAATCTGACAGTTGCACAATAACGACTATTTTTAGTTTTTTTTGTTTATTTTAATGTTTTTATGGGATTTTGGGGTTTTCTTTGGCTGGTTTTTTCCACCCTATATATACTCCATTGCATTTAACATTTCCAACTACCAAGACTATTTAAAAACAAGTTTTAAAAGTGTTTAAAAATTCATGTAAGTTTTGTTTTAAGTTTGTTTTATGAAGAAATTTTCATAAGAGGAAGAGGAGATTATCCATTCTTGTTTGTGCTTCAATCTACATCTCTTCACTCTTGTTTTAGAGAAGTTTTCTTAAACTCATTATTTAGCTTGTTTATACTTAATTTTTCATATTTATTTTTTACTAGATTAAATTAAGGCTATATTTGTTTTACTCTTTGTTTACACACACAACCATTAAGCTTATTGTATTTGCATACATAATATAATTAGGGTTGTGAGATTGTATGACTTAGAGAGTGAACTTACACTTAGTTCTCATCCTTGTATTAGAGAACAAAATTTGTATTTGAGCCTTCATTGTGTAGATAACCTTGTAATACATTTATACACTAAGAGGAGTGTGTGGTGAGAGACGGGGTCGTCCCAAGAGGAGTGGTGTCTGTAGTAAAGCCTAGAAAGAAGTTGTAAATCCGAGCACTTAAGGGAGACACGGGCTAGAGACCAACACTTAGTGGGTGTAGAGTGTCATTGCAAGAATATTAATTGTAAAGTTTTCGATGAGCTAGAAAACCGAGTGTGAGGTGTAAACGTTTTCGGGTGAGTGTTGAAAACCCGGTGTGATAGTGGATTTCTCCTCGGGAGTGGGAAGCGGAGGCGTAGGACGGAAGGTCCGAACTCTGTGATCATTTGCTTATGTTTGAGTTTGTCATTGGCGTATTTTCTTTTGTGTTTATCTTATATCTCCATTGTGTATTTCTCTTTATTTATATTGCCCTATCACATTTGTAGTTTTTTTATTTTACCCTTTGTTTATATTGTTTATCATTGCATATAATTGTTGCATATCTTATTTGCTAGGATAACTTGTTAATAAGTTTTAAATTGGTATTAAATCGGATTAGATTAGCATAAACCTTATTCACCCTCCTATAGGGTTCTTTCCTACTGGCATTAGGGTCTAACAGTAAGGTCATAAACATGAGTCCTAACAATATTATTTATTCTTGCATATCACTGCATATATCTCATTACTAGGATATTTGTTATTTAGTTTTTATTTTGTATTGTAATCAGATTAGATTAACAATTACCCTATTCATCCCCTCTAGGGTACTCTCAGTTTGTTCAGCAAAAATGGGTCCAAGTTGAATAAATTGGATTATTTTATTCGAGATGGGTGAGGTGGCTTTTGATGGGTGAATTCTTGAAAAGGAGGTAGGGTTACCGCCTCTTTTTCATCTCCCACTATTCCCCTTCTCTCTTTCATTCTCCTACCTTCGTTGCTCTTTTATTAGGTTCTCGGTGCCAAATTAGAAGTGGGTAATTACTAGTTTTGTTCATCTCTCTAAGATCCATCAAAGACCTGAAATGCATGGTGATGGCTACTTGTATTGGATGATCTTGGTAGGATTTTAGTGATCATTCATTGTTGCTATTGAATTATTGCTGAGATCTCAATTTTGACATGGGCTCTCTATGATCTTTTTTTGCCTTTCTCAATTTCGCTGTCAGAACTCTTCAAAGGTATGATTTTCAACATGCATTGAGTTATTATTTATGATTTTGTTGTAAAATTTTGACAAAAAAAACTTCACATGCTAATTTTCAGTGTATATTTCTTTATTATTAATATTTCAATGATTTTTAATTAATGGTAGAATAGGAAGAACATTAGCCTATCCCTTTGACATTCTACCTCAATTCACAGAAAACTTACATCATGGAATTCATTCTAGATGAAGGACAAAAGTAAAAGGCAACAATATAATTTTCTAAAATTTTTGTGATTTGTTATTCAGACAGTCTTTTGAAAATATAGTAAAGATTAGAAAGGGTTTTACATAAACAGTGGATTATGCATGCTTAATATTTAAGTGATTTTTATTGCTATTTCAGTGATCTTTAATGAGAGTTAATAATTCAGTGATTTTTAACATGCAAGTTATGCATGCTTATATTTCTTTGATGTTAATATTGAAATGTATAATTCTCTATTAATTCTTTGTTATTAATTGTATATTTTATTTTTTTAATATGTCAATGATTATGCATGCATACTCTCTTATTTTTCCATTGTTATGATGTGGATGTTAATCCTTGAATTTTTTTTATAGTGTTTTGAAGAAAAGGTGATGTTTGTGTTAGTTAATATTATATAAATCAAACCTTTAGTGTGTTTTAAAGGTAACAAGTGTAGCATTATAAAAATTAGAGGATCAAAAAATTTAATTGTATAATTTTGCAATTAGTTAATATTAAACAACATATGCATCCATGTCGCTGAAATGTAAAATTATGTTACATTATGTAATATAATTATATGTTCATATTGTAGATGGATGGAGATGGTGTGAATGAAGAAACCGTAGTGAACATTTGTAATGAGGCATCAATATGTGTGTTTGTCATGATAACGTCTTTTAATAGGAGAATGGAAAGTAGATGTAGACGAATCACTAATTTGAGAAGTGAAGAAAAAGAGGAACATAAAGAGGCTAGGAGATATCACATGAGGCGTATAGAATGATCTTATGGTGATAGTTGTAAGGATTATGTTAGAATGTGGTTGGAAGTTTTTACAAATCTTGCAAGCATTATGAGAAGGAAAAAATTATTGAAGGATTCAAAGCATGTATCGATTGAAGTAAAACTTATGATGACCTTAAATATATTAGGGCACGAAACTACAAATTGTATAGTGATATCACATTTTTATTAGACTGGGTGAGACAATTAGTAGATACTTCAACAATGTGTTTGAAGCAATTTGTCATTTACGTAGTCGATATATGAAACAAGCACCCAGTGAAGTACCAAAGAAATTCTTAACAACCCTCCTTACTATCTGTACTTCAAGGTAAACCATTCACTCTTAATCTTAAAAAAATGTGTAACATGATATGTGTGGTTGTTTACTATTTTGAATATATTGTATAGGATTATACTGGTATGATAGATAGGACACATGCAGATGCAATACTTCCAGATGGACTTGTTGCATGTTTCAGAGGCCAAAAAGGTGCCACACAGAATGTCCTAGCAGCTTGTACCTCAAATAAGCAATTCATGTACATCTTAACAAGTTGGGAATAATCTGCAAATGATTATAGGATCCTACAGGACGTATTGTTTAGACCTTAACCTCATGATTTGAGAGTTTATGATGGTAAAATCATCACAAATATATTCCATGATTGCTTAATATAATAATTTCTCAAAATTAGAAAATGTGTTTCACCCTAATTGTAGGAAAATATTACTTGTGTGATGCGAGCTACACAGTCATGTCACGTTTCATCTCCCCTCATCGTGGTGTGAGATATCATTTGAAAGAACATTGAAGAAGTAAACCTATGATTAGAAGAGAGTTATTCAATCTGAGACATCGTCATTAAGGTCAAATATTGAATCAATTTTTGGCATTTTGAAGACTCGTTGCAAGACTCTTTCAATAAAACCCTATTATCCTTTCCCTTTTCAGGTTGACATTGTCTTGGCCTGCATTGTGTTGCATAATTACATATCAAGTTTTGACCCAAAAATATGACATTCTCTATGAGCCATACAAAATTGAAGAGGAGGATGGTGAAGTGGCAGATTCAGATGATAATAACATTGTTGCTTTTTCACAATCCATGACTCAAAGAAAACATAAACAAACAAGAAATGAGTGGAAGCATCGTAGGGATGAAATAGGTTCGGCTATGTGGGTTGACTATTGTGGGAAGTATCATGGAGGAGACACCACTGAGTCTGGAATGTCTTAGTTTTTTTTTATAAAGTCTAAAGTTGTCTACTTCTTACCATTGTTTTTTGAGTTGTTTCAAACAGTGTATAACTATTCTAGAACTTAGTGTACTTTATGCAATGTAATATGTAATACTTACTAATTTCTCTTTATGTAATATAATGTGTTTTATTTTTATGTTTCGATAATATCATATATGTGTGGTCATGTGTATTAGTAGTTCTAATCATTGGGTTTGTAATATCTATTTTGATCAATTAGTTTTCATGGTTCTATTTCTTTTTATCTTATATATGTATGGCCGAGGACATTAATGGAACCCCATCACCTCCTTCTAACACCCCAAAAAATCCACACACTACTGGGTTCAATATGGTATTCATGCAATTCCCTTCCAACCAGGGTGCACCACATCTTATTGCATTTGCACATACGCACAATTATGAAGCTAATTTCTATCCAATGTCTCAACAACATAGTTCCTATATTAATTTGCTCACGGTGGTATACCAAACCAAAAATATTTCCAACCATCAAATCTTTGTGTGCAAAACATGACTAGAGTACTTCAAGGGGAGCTACTCCAAAGATAGGAAAGAAGAGGGCATCTATGTCAGAGAATGTGGAAATATATGCTCTCAAGAGGCCAAACAAGTCTATACACAAGTGAAAAATGGCTAAGATTGTTATTCCTGATGACTTAGGTTTAACAAATAAGAGGTGGGAGTCTAAACATGACGAAATTTTACTCATTGCTAAATTAGAAAAGTCTAAATTGAAACTTGACAAGAACTTCAAAAGGACTGAATTTTCCCAAGCTGCTACTCATATCAACCAAATATTCAAGTTTGATTTCACTGGGGATAATGTTGCTAATTGTCTAAAAACTCTTCGCAATAAGTTTCACGACATGTTGTGTTGTTGTTCTAACCTTAGTGGCTGGATGGGAAGAGAAGAGTAAGACAATCAAAATGGATCATGTATGTGTTGAAAGATGGCTATAGGTATAATTTTTATAACTAATTATTATTTTCATAATATTCCATGAGTGCTCGGGCGTGCACACACTATCCAATGTTAGATTCTTAGGTTTTACTATTTACCTTTAACTACATGATAAAAAAATTAAATAGTTGCAGGCTTAAGGATTACATCAATACACCTTTGAAACACTTTGAAAATCTTGAAATCATCATGGGCGATAATCAAGTCAGGAGTAATTATGCTAAAGATTCCTTTATGAAGTTTGGTGGTATTAATCCTATTCATACGGTTGAGGATGATAATTTGATGTGGATGAAGATGATAATTCCCCTATAGTACATTGCTTAGATGAGGAGGATGTGCAAACTGAGACTAAGGATACCATAATACCTTCTAACAAAAACAATGCTAGCGGGGTAAACAATGCTTCTAAAGCTAGGGAAAAGTCACAGTCAAAGCCAAGGGGCATGAAGCCTAACGTAGAGGCTGAGATTATGTCTAAGATGCTTGATAACGTGGATGTATTCACTTCTTCCATCCAATGTGCAAATATGAATTGGACAGAAAAGCTTTCTAAAACCATTTTTGCACATCAAGCTGACTTCTCCAATAGCATACTTGGCAAGTTCTTTGAAAGCCTTTTTTATAATGAAGACGGTTCTAGACTTTTCATGGGAAAAATTATAAGAAGTGCAATAGGCTGCGATATACACATTCGTTGAAGATCATGGTCTCAACATATAAGCAGTATATTCTTTGGTGCAAGCTATAATTGAGCAAACATATCCGATGGTGAAATATCTATGATGGTATGGTCAGTAATGTTCTAAGTTTACATATAAGCTATGTAAAAACTGAGTACTGATTGCAATCTACATTGTATATGCATTATACTGGATGGCTCTCCATATGATAGCAACCTACATTGTAACATACAATGTATAAGATGGTAATCTATGATAAAGAAGACCAAGTTTTGGGCCCTTTGTCTTTAATTTCATTAACATATACTTTGTTTAATGCTATATATGACACTATTTGTTGATGGATTTCATTTGGCACAGGTTTTCATGGATTACATGGCTTTAATAATGTACATGATACTCATTTAGCTCAAACTATTTGTGTTGCTTTTGATCAATCCCCTAATATTTCACTTAATTTCTTTGAAGGATTCCATGAACTTTTCTATTACATATCACTTTGGTTTTGTGATAAATTTTTGATTAGTTTCTACTGAAGCTTTGATATGATAGCTTAGTATAATTTTCTGATGAATTTTTCTATCATGGACCTTCATTAGGCATTGAAATTTGCCCAATTGCTTTTGTGAGCTTTTGTTATGATTTGTTAGTATGTTATTTTGCTGAAATATGATCAGATACTATAAGCACTTTGCTATGTTGCCTCATTTTAATTTTGGAATGAGAACTTGCTCAGACGGTGTAAAGAATTTCTTCTTGCCTTAGGACTTCTATTTAGTTATTTTGTTTTTTTTGAACAATTTACCATTCTCTCTATGTTATTATTAATTGTACATGGGCAATGATGTAATTGAGATAATGATATTGCAACCTACATATATATGCATTGTAATTGATGATCATATATAAGTTAGTAACCTACAATGCAAAATACAATGTATTGGATGAAATTCTTTGATTTAAACTCACTCAAGTTTTGAGCCCAATTTAGAAAAAGTGAAAATATTTTTATTGCAATGATTACAATGTGATACTACATACTACAAAGGTCAAAACAATTAGAAACAATGAGGAAAATACAAGGCTAATTGAATATATTTTTCAAACCAGGATTTCATATTTTGCTTCTTTAATTGATTCTTCAAGAACTTATTTTCAAGGAGTGCTTCTCTTCTGAAGTTGCTTCATCAGGTGATAGGTATAAATCACTACTATCACGATCGCTATAACACCATGCGAAAAATTTATAATATTTTTTAAAGTAGTTGCAAAAACCCCAAAAGGCCTTGCCATTGTTCATTCCATTCTTAGACATCCTTAATGGTGTTGGTATATTGCAATGACATTTGATTTTAGACCCTTCAATTGCTTTAGTTTTGTGGCTGAAAATTAGAGAAATGAGTTGATTTATAGACGAAATTTTGAGTACTAAACAAGTTTATGACTGTGAATATTTTCCTATGCTCTATAGCTCCCTAGTTATATGTTCATGTATGAAATTTGGTTGTTGTTGGTATGCATGTTACTGTTACTTGTAGGTAAAATTCAATTTGGTTTGTAAGATTACAATTATCTTATGTATAAGAAGTTTTTGTTTTTTATGGGGGATAATCTCACCTTAGTGACCACATATAAGCTTCATATTGATGTTTTCCCATTTTTTTAGCTAACCAAACTATTAAAATGTTTCTTAATTCTATATTCTTTTATTTCTTAAACACCCAACCAAACAATGGAAAAATGTGATTTTCCAGGAATTTAAGGTTACTTTTGCTCCAATGAAACAAGATAAAATCAATTATGAGAAGTACCTGGAAAACAAAAAAAAGGGTCCCCCCCACCGAAATTAGGTTTTTCCCATAATGGGGTTTTTGAACCAAACAACCCCAAAAAGAAAAATAATAAGAAGAGTTACTACAGCATGGGGTCAATGTGGATAGTGATTTACACATGAACGAATTGTGGCAAGGATTAGTCACATGCAATACTAAATACCCATAGGATTTGATGGAATAAGATGAGTATACGATAGATGAAACTAGTGTAGAGATATAATTCTAGCGGTAGAGTTGTTAGCATGCAATTATTTGGAGTCATCGTAAGAGTAGGAGTTGGCTGGTGTGTAGCCTCTCGGAGGATAATGCTAGATTAGGTGGAGCTTGCAAGAAGGCACGTGCGAGTGACACACATAGAGGAGATGGCAACATTGGACTTGTAAGGAGATGTAGGACAATGGGCGCTCATGTTCAGCCCAAGCCAAGCAAGGAGGAGATAATAGCTTCGGGCTCGTAGAGTAGAGTAGGAAAGGTGTGTTTGGATCAAAAATCGTTGTTTTCATTGTGATTGAATCTATTACAACTTTAATCGTTTACAGTAAACTCAAATAAAAAAGTTGATCTTTTTATAAGATCTCATTATATAATGAAAATACAGAAGATACGACTCTTGTCAAACAGCGCAACATATGTTTATCACCCGCTGCTTGCGTGGGATCTTTGCATGTGCCGGGGACGTTAATATCCATGGACCGTCGCGGATTAGATCCGGTTGACAGATAAAGGATCAAAGCTCTTACTTCACAAAGGAAGTAATTGCTACAGCGATGATCTCGACCAAGCGAGATCACAACTCTTCTCGAGATTTAAGACTAAGCTTAAATCCGGAGGAATAGGGCACGGGTCTCGGATCTCTCGAACTCCACTCTTTATGCATAGGAGATCGCCAAGATCTGCTAACCCTTGCTGTAAATTCGTGGCTTCACTCTCCAATTCGGCAGCGTTTCGCTCTCTTGATTTCCAACCCACAGAAATGAGCACCCGAGCTAGTATTTATAAGCCTCAGAAGCCGGTATTTGGATAAGAACGAGAGATTCCTCCTTATCTTCAGTTAAGAACTGATTAACCATAGTATCAGATCAATTGGGATGCTCAGAAACCAACAAATCCGGAGAGAATCCATGAAAACAAAAAAATCACACTTTTAGATCAAATCTGGCCGAAGCGTCACCCGGTGGCTCGGGTGCCTCGGCCCAGCGGCTTTTATTGGTTTTTCGGGTTTTGACTTGTTTTGTCGTTACGCGTATTTCGTCGTTTCGTTGACTTATACACTGTTTTGGTGGTCGATGAGTACGCGAATCACTTGGTTCGCCGATTTGGTGGCTGATGAGCGTGCGGGCCACTTGATGGTAGCCAGTGAGCACGAGGGCCATTTGGTTCACCGATTTGGTGGCTGATGAGCGTACGGGCCACTTGGAGCTAGCTGACGAGTGCACGGGCCACTTGGAGGTGGCCGGTGAGCGCACAGGCCATTCAGTTTGCTGTTTCACTTCATGTGTTTGTCGGTATCGGATAATCCTCTTAGACTTAGATAATGGCGTTCATCACCTTCTTTCTGTCTCGAGCTGTATTCGGGGATCTATAGGTAATTTTTGACGCCTACAGATACCCCTTCCAAAGTGTTTCAGTCTCGTACTTGGCAAGTTCTTTGAAA